TGAAAAATTGCCACGGAATATTTGACCGCGTTATTATCGAATCGATGCACACTCGCGTTTCATTATGCCCGGAAGAGCGGGATTCCGCGTGCGTGTGCATTTGGAAAAATCGCGAAGACGCTAGATTCTTCCGAGAAGAAAGTAAGAAAAAAGAAGAAAAAAATCTGTTGCCAAGGATGTGGAATTGTCCATACTCCGATACTCGTCCCTTTGTCGTCGCGTAGGATTCGTAGGAAAAAGATGTGCCCGTACGACGGGTTCGACGAAGGAGTCGAGGAGAGAATCCCTCGAGAGTATTCTACTCTCGTCTTCAAGGTTATCGATCCTCGAGAACTCTACGGTGAAAGAGGATGAAACAACGCGCTCCTCTCGCTCCTTTTCGGGGTGAAAAGGTTCGCGCGACCCTCCCCAATTCCCGCTTCTCTTTCTCCTCTCCGTTTTTTCAAGGTCACCCTCTCTCGCTTCGCTCTCGAAAAGGTGCTCTTGACAACGAAACGAACACCAGGTACACGGAAGACGAGGAAAATCGGAGAGGAAGGATCGATCGAGTGGGGTGGCGAGGTAGGATCCTTCGAATTTTTGCCCGAAATCGTAGGTTCAAGGTCAGTGGACCACCGATCGCCAAGTCGGTTACGGAAACGGTTAATAAATCAAATTGGCGTATCGTCGATGCGAAACAAAGTTTAGAAGAAAATAAGGAATGGTGGAGGAGGAAAGGAGGTGGTGCGATCGAAAGGCAGAAAGAAGGAGGAGGAGGGTTGACCATTTCGGGAGTGTCGGAGGTGGCGGCTGATCGATGCAACAGCAGCGCCGCTACGAGGCGTATGGTAGGAGGAGGGAAAGGGCAGAGGGTAAGCCTCCCTTCCACCCTGCGTCGGCGGCCTTCTCTCCGCTGTATCCCTCCCTCTCGGACCGTTGCACGCGTACTAACCGAGCGGCGCGCGTTCGGCTTCTCCGCTCCAGCCATCCCCTTCCAACCTTTGCGCCTCCGCTTCTCCACCACCTCCACCGCCGCCGCCGCCAATTTTCAGAATAGGGGTTGCTTCGACGCGACGCGACGCGACGCGGACCGCCGATGCGCCCTTTCTCTCTCTCTCTCTCTCTCTCCGCTCCTTTCTCCCTCGTGCCTTCCTCTCGCTCTTTCTCCCCCTCGCGCTCCCTCCCTCGCAGCCTCAGTTCTCGCCTGAAGACCGTGCGGTGTACAGGTGATCCGGCTCGTGCGTATTCACCCTCTCTGCGCGCTCGAGTTTGTTCGCCCGCTGCTCGGGATGACGTGCTGCTGCCGCGTTGCCACGAGGAGGACGCACGCTCTGTCCTGCCGCGTCGTCGACGAGGTGCGCTTCTCCTTCTTCTGCCGTTCCTTTCTTCTTCCTTTTCTTTTTTTTTTTTTTTTTCGTTTCTTTCCTCTTCTTACATTCCTCTTTTTTCTTTCTCGCGTTTCGTCTCGATCGTTGCGCCTCGCGCGCTCGTCTCTCGCGTCCTTCAACGATGAACGAAATCATCCTGACAGGTTCCTCGTTTCGACGTCGTTCTCCTCCGATATGGGGAGGAAGGATTTTGTAACGCGTGGCGTTGCGCTCGTTCTTTCTGCTTTCACGACTCTCGACGGTTCTGTTTCCTTCCTGTTCGTTTCTTCCACGAAAGTGATTCGACGACGAGAAAAATCTCCTCTCCCTCGTCCTCTCCACGAACCTTCTTTCTCTTTGATATTTCGAAAGGAGAGGAGAGGAGTGCGCGATGTGTAATAATCCCATCGGAGATGAGTTTTCGATCACGTGGGTGGACGATCTGCTTCCATCGATAATCTTTGACCGAAGAATATGGAGAATATCTCGTTGCCAACGCGACCAGGGTTTAGTTACTTCGTCGTCCCCTTTTATAATCTCGCTCCTTCGAGAGGGATCCTTTTATCGTTCGCGAGGTAATTAAAAAGTACGTATTACGTTATTCGTGAAAACTCGTTCAAAGTTCTTCTCTCTTTCTCTCTCTCTCTTTCTCTTTCTCTCTTTCTCGTCGATCTACATGCGACGCATTTACATACGATTCCTCGATCACGTGGTTGCCTCGTTCACCGTATCCACGCAAGATTATCGGGATCCTTTTCCGCGGTTCTCCTCAATTAATACGTTAAAGGCGTTTCTTTTCAAGGGGAGGGAGACGCAATTATTAACGTGATTAATACCCTCGCGAATATAACATATTCGCATAACTCGGGACAGAATGATTTATCCTCGGTGTGCACGCGGTAACCATCGGTATTAAGGTGGATTCTCACGGTGCTTCTAAATAATAGGGAGCGTTAAATTGGCTCTCGAGTTTGTGGGATCTAGCGGAATCCGAGTCTTACGTGAGTCTCTTTCTCGGCTGTGAAACAGTTGCCCCGTCCACGTGTCTTCGAATTGGATTTACCGCGAATCTCGTTTCCCGGTTTATAGATCCCGTCCTTGTACTCCCCTTTCGCACCGTAATATTTTTCCTTTTTTTTTTTTTGTAAAACTGATAGAACGTTGGTTTCTTTTGTTTTTTTTTTTATTTTTTATTTTTTTCGAATACAGTATCGAGAATCGAGGAGCGAGAAAAAACAATGGGGCTTAGCCAGAGATAACCGATGAAACGTCTGGAAAACGGGAATACCGGTTACACGCGTGACACGTCAAAAGAACGGTGGTAGCATTGTGCTCCATTTCTAAGGCTGACGGAAGCTCGATGATTCGTTCGCCAGCTGGCAAGGCCGGCTGGTCGCGTCGATGAGTCTGTATTTAGCCGCGAACACGTGAATTACCTATCCTCCACGCTTTTCAACTTCGTTTAACTCTCCGCCTATCGATTTCGCCTATTTTTCCTTTCCTCGATGCGAACGCGTTTCGATCCATCCCGAATTCGATGACGCGCGTCGACCGATGAACGTTCAAAAAAGGGGAGGATACACGCTCGAAAATTCTCGACATCCTCTTTCGCTATAATTGGTGTCGTGGACGATTCAGCCACGATCCAGCCACAAAATCGTCAAACGGCGAAGGTCACCGAACGCGTAGTACGAATTGGAACGATTTCTGGATCCGCGGTGGTTACACGGCGGCCTCGTTAACGCGGCCACGCCGCAATCCGATGATCGGATTTGCCGCAATTCGCCCCGTTCAATGGGATATATGCGCGACATTTTTCCAGTCGAGCGTTGTCGCCAGATCCGCGCGAATCCTCATAATTAATCCAAACCCGATTGGTTGCGCGAACGAACAGAGGGAATCGCGACGAGCGGTTTTCTACGCAAGAGAGTTTTCCAAATACCCTTGAACGATCGTTATTGGAGCGGTGTATACACGGTGTGTGTATGTATACGTGTAGTAGAGGGTTAGAGGGAGCAGCAGGGTCGAAAACGGCGGAGGCGCGTGCATTGTCCGATGGAATCGGCAGCAGGGATTAAACCGACAATTGTCTCGAGAATTTCCGGGCAAATGGGGCTGCGACAGAAACAACGGGCATCATCGCGGCTGCATTCGGCAAGCGGACAGTTATCGGGCATTGGATAACGCTTCGATGCCCGTAATGCGACGCTGTCTCGTGTGTCGGTCCGCGATTTTATCGTACGATATACATATATATATATCCCCATCGGCGCATAATTCTTTCGAATCTGTCCTTCCTCCTCTTCGAAATATCATCTTTCCTTATTTTTATCCTCTGTATCCTCGATATCGTTCCCCGCGTTCTCGAGTGCATTTTAAATTTCGTACGGATTTTTTAGCTGGCGCGATAAATTGTGTCGACAAAGGGAGAGCTAGGAATTCGATTCTAGGAAGTAATTTTCCAACATCCCTTTCGATACATTTAATCTCGACCTTTTGGAAGGCAGGTTCCCCGTTCGATCGCATTCTTTGCAACTACCACCGACGATACTCTTCCTCGACAATTCCTCGAAGAAAAGTGGCATCGCTGGTCACGTTCCATCCAACGGAAGGAACTTGGATATCCTAGATGGATGGAGAGAGGGATCGTATCGTCGAGATATTCTCGCTTATTCGTCGAATTAACAGCGTAGAGACCGAACCGTTGAATGCAAACGAGTCGATGCACTTTCGTGCAGCCCCCGCACGCTTTGTTCCGGGTTGCACGACAACTGCCGGTTGTCGAGGCTGTCGTGGCCGAGGGCGGCCAGTAAATTTCCCAACGGCTGGCAACCGGCCAGACATTTTTATTACGGCCTACGCCTCACGGAACGTTTCCTAGTCTTGGCCGCCGCTAACTAACGCCATTTCCCGGACGTGTATCGTTTCCCTCTTCGCGCACGCTCGCTTTGCTTGGAACCGGCTCGAAACTTCTCCACCTCTCTTTCTTTATCCATCCCTCTCTTTCTCTCTCTCTCTCTCTCGTATATACCCTTCTTACAGGGGATTCTCTGGTAAAGGCGTTTATACGTGCGAGGGAGATTGGTGGCGAGCGTGCAAATCAAGGTCTACGTGCAGTTTTTATCCACAACTATCTTCCCGCGCCGTGTTCCTCGAACGCTGGGATCATCGCGGCGCTTAATTATATCGAACGGTGGCGCGCAGTTAATGTTCTTCCTCGAGGAATTTCGAGGAATAATAGTAGTAGAAGAGTCGGGGCGATGAGGATAGAGTTGGATATATCGTTTAGGAGAATTCGAAAGAGAGAAGGAAAGGGACGGAACGAGGCTGCCAGGATGAGGACGTTATCGACCCGTAGCCGATTTATACCCGACAACGTTTTTTACACTCCCCCCATTTATTTCGTTGCAACCCGTTGTTATAACTCCCCCCACCCCTGTGTAAAGCTGTAGAGACGAGCGACGATATGTAGCGCGGAAGGATTCTCGCGACCGCGAGAACTACGCTCTCTTCCTGGCCTCTGCGGTGCAGAGGCGGATACGAGGATGTCGAAGTGGTCGGTGGCACGTGGCCGGGATTGGTGAGAAATCGGACGATCGAAGCGAGGAGAGGATAACAATCGAGGGGAGTGAGCGAGTGGGTCTCTCGATCGAGGCGGTTCGATCGGCGTTCGAGGGGTTAAAGGGAGGTTAAGGGGGGTGGTGGTCCGCAAGGGCCACGGCCATGGGGGAGGCAGCATGTTCTCCGAGCTGTGCAGGGAGACTTTGCGGAAGGCAGCTGTGTGCTACAGTTCTGGTCGTGCAGGAAGTCCATCACCATCGCCACCAACGTCTCCGCCGCCATCTCCCGCCAAAGAAGCAAAGGCTACTGCCAACGTTGACCTGGCAAATGTCCGTGACGCCTGCCACGAGGCCAGAGATCCAGGGACCAGCGGAAAGAGAACGGTGCCGCATCAGCAGCAACCGACGTCGTCAGGAACGGAATTCCGCGACTTCACCGCCGCGGGAAGGAGATCGGCCACCGCCTCAACCGACTCCAGGGAGTACGTTTACGCCGCGGAAACGCTTCCCTCTCTGGTATACGATCGCGATTCCTTCTCTCGTCTCGACTCCGTTTCTTTATTTCGACACGATCGTCCAAATCTTCGCCAAATCGAATACGGTGTAGCATCGGATCCAACGCGATCGATCCGATTCTACCGTAAAAAGCCCGAGGGGGGGGATCGTCGTCGAGGCAACGAATCGGAAATTCGATCGCTCGCGCGGTTAATTTAACTTCCTTAATCTTGAGAGGGATCGAGAGAGAGATAGAGAGAGAGAGAGAGAGAAAGTCGGTTTAACGATCGAATTGGCCGAAATGGAAGCGCGTAAACGTATTCCCGTCACGGAATCCTCAGGAAGCGTTCAACGGTGGCCGGCGACTTCGGGAAAAGATTGGGCTGGGCCGAGGCGAGGGACGGGAAGCGAGGCTCGTTTCCGGCAGACACGAGGGACGGACGATCGGTGTCCCCCGAAAAGGGACGACAGTGCGAAGACAACAGGGGGTCAAGCGGAGGATACGAGTATGGCCGACCAGACTCGAGACTCGGTAGACAGTCCCCTGGGTCCCCGGGATCGTCGCCCGAACCAGAGGACAACTCCTCAACTTCTGGCGACGAAGGTATTGTTGTTCTTGTCTCGCTCGTCTTTCTTCTTCTTCTTCTTCTTCTACTCGCACGATATTTATTTTTTGCGAGAAAAGGAAGATGAAAAATTTTTCTTTTTTTTTTTTTTTTTTTTTTTTTGCGAACTTGAAATTATTCGTTTATAAAATTTAAACGGAGGATCCAACAAAAAGGAAAAAGAAAATGGAAAAGTATCGAGCGGAAATTTTTTCTTTTTCACGAATTTTAAATTTATTCGCGGCGATGCGTTCGTAAAATTTAAGTGGCTCGAATCGAAGGATTCGTTCCTCAAACGCTTCTGCCAAACGCACGGTGTTTATTTATTTTCAAAAAAGAAAATAGAAAATTATCGAGGGGAAATATTTTTGTTGCGAATTTGAAATCGGTCGCGGTGAATAAGAAATGGTCGTCGAGGTAATGCGTTTAACAAAATTCAAGCGATATAATTGATGGGAGCGTTATTAAGTTTAAACGGAGACACAAGTAGTTATGTGGGACAACTTGTTCGTCGTATTCGTCGTCGATACACTTTAATTAACGGGGGAAATCAAGTTTACCGGGCCACTGGCGGTCGTGATAGTTCCATCCTGGCAAATTAACGGCGCAAGGACATGCAAATCGAGTTTTCGAATTTATTTCGGAACAAATTCTTGTTTTTACAGGCATGCATTTGTTCGAAACGCATTCGCGATGGATAAATATTAGCTGTTCGTTAAAAGTTGGAGGGATTTTGGGGAAAAAAAAAAAAAGAAATAAATAAATAAGAACACAGGGGACAGGTGTTTATCTTACTCGTATTGGTCGTTTCGCAGTCGGAGAACGTCCACTCCGAAAATTTTCGCCGTTGTGCGCCAGCTTATAGTACTCGTGAAGTTTTCCTCGACTTTTTGAAAGAGCGAGGAAACGCGAACAATTTGTGACTTTTTACTCCATTAACGTGATTTTCACCCCGTGGGACCAGTTCCCGACAAGAGATGCATCGAAACTTTTACACTTGCAAACAAATGCTTCGAATACGATACAATGTGTACTTCAATGTACAAGTGCGAAATTCCATTTTCAAATTCTTCTCTCAAATTTTAAAGATGTCTCGAGAAACAATTCAATTTTTTTTTCTTCTTTTAATAACCGTTGAAAAAAATTTATTAAAATGATCGCTTAAATAAGATTTATTCGTAGCTGTTATAATTGATCCGCTTTTCATATAATCTCGCCCTTTTACAATTACGATTATTTCCGATTATTACTCGTAATTTCAACTAATAAATTTTGTTGCCCATCGCTTCCAAGGTTACACTCCCTCTTGTCTCGAATAAATTTTATCAAATTCGTAATTTTCTATTTTCGCTAATTCATTACCGAACTCATAATCGAATCAAACGGCGTTAATCCAACGAATCTTTCTCCAAGATCAGGCGGGATCACGGATGGTTAACCCGTTGTCGACTCGACTTCTCTCTGATGTCTCTCTTTCTACCGTGGAAATTCGTTTGCAAAAGAAGAGCGCGACTTGCCACGGCGGCGAGTGAACTTCCTTTCCCGCGATGCCTTCTTTGTCAGACTTTCAACGATTTTCCTCCCTTTTATCGAGCTTCCCGTCCACGATCTCTCCCTCGCCGCGAAAATTTGTCCCGTGGCGGGAAGCAAAGAATTTTGTTCGACGAGAATAGCCAAGATATTCCGAGACGTCTGAAACCGCTTCGAGCTATCAGCTATCGATCCATTATGGAATCTCTTTTGAACTTTTTTTTCACGTTTCTCCCTCGCTTCTCGCCAGATTTTTTTTTATCCGCGTTCAACGATTAATCGTAAATTAACATCTTTGAACAAGTTTCCTTCCAAATTTTCCTTCTTTTAATTATAACTCGACGACTTTTCTTTTTCTTTTTTTTTTTTTTCCCCTTAAACTTTTATCCTTTTAAAGTGTAGAGATTTTTCATCGAAACACGCTACTTTTCTCGATACTGCTACTACTAGTACTCTTTATATAGTTATTAAAAGCGCAGAGAAAAGTTTTCACGTTTCAATCACGAATGATATAATACCTTCACCCTGGTCTGCTAAACTTTTTCCATATCTAACTGAAACGATCTCCCTCCGCTATCGATACGCGAGCGCAACTAATCAACTCCTCGACTCCTCCTCTCCGCCTTTCCATCCGACAAACGTTCGCGCGCTGTCCCGAAACAAATCACTTTCGATATGACGTTCGATCAGCCCGGATAGAAACGGAATTGGAGACTCGCCGTTTCGTCCTCCAGACGAGTGAATCTTCGTTTGCCCCAATTTTTCGAACCCTGGTTGTAGCACCAACGAACGAAACGAAAACTTTTCCTCCCCTCCTCTCGCCTGCCGATCCAAAATTCTTCTCGATTCGAGTCGACGATCGTTGGCTCCTGATCTTGCTCGAACAAGTTGCCGAGATACAAAGCGTTTCTCCTAAAAGGAATTCTGGTTCTTCGACAAACAATTTTTTATCAACGCGTCCACCGCGTATCGATTTTGGCTCGTAATCTCGGCGGAGGATTATGCGGAAATGAGCGATACCCTCGCGTGGTGAGGGAAATCAATAATATCGTGGACGATGATGCGGCAAAGGTACGGCGATAACGCTCTGTAATTGCTGGGTACCGAGTCGCAGCGTGCAAATTATTAGATTTTACGTTCGAATATTTACATTCCAATTCGAAACATTTATTTGACAACGTTTATTATTTGCTTCGACGAAATTAAAATTGACACATCTCCAAACGAGATAGGTATATATACGTACATATGTACGCGTTATACCCTCGAAGGATTAAAAGTTTGATCGAGAATTTTATTTCTCGTTTAATATCATTTCTCAAGAGCCTTGCGTGCTCTCTTCGAAATCGTCGGCTACGAAACAACTGTAATTTTCGAAAACGAAAGAGAACGGATCTCTCTTACCACGCGATCGTTTCTTTCCCTCTCCCCTGACTTGGGCGCACAATCTGCCAAGGGGATTAGCGAGGAAACACGGTAGATAAACGGCGTTGAGATCGTGGTCGTTCGGAAACGCGGACAAAGGCGACCGATGCTCGTCCCTGATCGGCGTAATTGTTTCGAAAGAGCGAGTAACCGAAGGCTCGCCCTGTTTCTGACGGAAACTTGATGGGGTATTGCGCCTCTCGAATATACGCAACGGTGGAGGACGGAGAGGAGATAGGAAGTGGGTGAAAGGGGGAAGTTATAGAAGCCCCCGTTGAATTATGGCCGAGTCGGTGTAATGCGGTCTCGCAATGCGGTACACCCGTTTCCTACGATTCGCTTCGTTTAACGAACCGCCGTTTCCATCGATCCAAGGATCCATCATAATCCGGGTGTCGAGCGAGTAGGATAAAAGTGGATAATGCTTCTCTCTCTCTCGGCTGTTGCCAACATCCGACCGAGCAAAGTCTCTTCGAACACGTCTTGCTCGCGCGATCGCTTCTCGGACTTTGGACGATTCTGTCTTTGGAATGCAAATGCGTCAATTACGCGCACGTTGAATATTTATGGATATATATATGCATGCGCGATGACTATGGCGAGCGATGTTTTTTTTCTTACGTATTTAGGATACGTAATTTTTCGAATAAAAAACTTTTTTTACGAATAACAAAGTTACTTGTTACTCGTTTGATTAATAAAATAAGTGGACTAAGTAATACATAGGCTATCGACGATTAAAGAGTGAATTCGAATCACGAGACCTTAACCTTTTCGCTGCTACGAGCGACTATAGTTGCTCTGCATAAGATATCGTACGATATGACGAGTTTATTGCACATCGAGTCTCTTTCTCTGGAAACGTAGCATCGATATTTTCTTTCTTATCAATTTTTTTTTTTTTTGCAATAAATATCGTCAAAGCAACTCGAATTGCGGCCGCCAACGATCTTTCTCGAGCACATGCGGCCCGTAGCGAAAGGGTTAATATCGATCGCCGTGGAAGCGTTAGCTTAATAGTCAATGGGAATCGACGATTAAAATCATATTTCCCTCCAGTTTGGACAATTTCCTCATTCGATCCCTCCCCTCTAATTCCCCAGTTGTCGAAGTTTCGTAGGAATGTTAGGAGGGTATACATCTGTGAGTATCGCGAACAGAGATGGAAAGTTTTCGCGCAGAGTTCCATCCGAGAATTCCATTCAAGTTTCCGTGACACGGAAGGGATCGTGATGAATTATCTGGCCGAGGCGCGTGGAAAACGTGTTTCCCGCGCCTTATCTTCCAGCCCGTTTATCGTACGCGTTTACGCTCTTTCTATGATCGCGCGAGAAAAGAAAAGGAAAAAAGGAGAAAAAAAGAAAGAAGAAAGGGAGAAAAATGGGACACGCGATAAACGGTGGAGATGGTCGTTTACACGAGGATCGCCCGTCCTCTAACTTGCCTTTCCCTCGTTTTCCATTAGGCTCTCTCTGAAATCGCGACGCGTTTTATCCTCCGCATACAACGTCGATATCCACACCACGTCGCCGATACTCGTTTTTTAATTGCATCCTTCGCCTGTATTAATCCTGTGTTAATTGCGTGCGAATCGATCGAGCCGTAATCCTCGCGATACCGTGAAGGTAAAAAGCGTCTGTCTTTTGCTTCTCTTCTTCCTCCTCCTCTCCCCCCTGTCGTTGTTACCGATACGATTATTATCGAATACCGGTTGGGAACGCGAGTAACGCTCGAGAGGCGTAGATATATCGGTCGTATCGATGATCATAGAGACAGATGTCAGGTGGAGGTCTCTCGAGAGGAGAGGAGACTCGAGATTCGAAAGATGGAGGTTTGCCCCGATAGGAAGCAATAAGTTGGCATAACCGGTACATGGACGATAGGAATCCGCTGACTTCGGTCTGGCTTCTTCTTCTTCTCCTTCTTCGAGAAGAAGGCGAGGCGAGGCGAGGCGAGTCCTTACCGTGCACTTGAAGAGGGAAGCCTTTTTCTTTCTTTGCCGTGCGATACTCCAGCCGCGAAAGTGCCGAAGCTACCTCGCGGCTTGCCAACTTGAAACACTCGAGACCCTCTTCACAGCT